CGCCGACATCTATCGCACGCGCATTGCTTGCAGACAAATAGATCTTTATGCACAAGTCACGCACCGCAGTGGTAAGCATCAATGAATTAAATTATACAAACGTACAAAACACACAATAACTTTCTTTACAAGGCGGCTTTCACTACACACTAATATGTACCCTAAAACATATGAGATAAAGTTCATTTTGGTACTCGCTACACGGCAGTTTCGATTACAATATGGTTGGTGCGCATGATTTGAATGTCGAACTGCGCACGCGCTTCCGTCCGCCCCGGGAAGTGAGCGCATTATGAAATGGAAACGGACCGAACCCGAATTAGGTGAATTAAGGTCTAAATAATGTTTTATAGCCACAGTGTTTGGCCGTCTAATGGTCATTCAACCCTGATTGTACGGTCTATTTGAGTGTCAAGCAAATACTGATGAACTAATCTCATTGAGTTATAGATACACATCTCTTTCAATGAAACGTTAAAAAACTAATACGTAGTAACTGTTGACATGAATGTCTGAAATCTAATCCCCAAATTGCTGGCTGGCGCGCGACATCATCAGTACATACATCATAAGTATAACAGGCGAACACGCATACCGCCCAATCAATTAAAAAACGTATGTTTATTCTACATGTCCATTGATTTGGCTATAGGAATGTCTCGGACTCTTCGCACACTGTACTTAACAGACAATTTATTAATCATTATTTGATCATTTGAAGGAAATAAAATAATGGCAATGGCAGTCAACAGTTTTACAGCAATTTTCGCAACTAGAATTTTGTGTCGGAGTCTAGTCTAAGTTTGTAGCTTCAGTATAGCATTTCTAATGGCGTAGTTAGACGATCAACTTGATTTACCGCAAAAAGTAATTTTCAGTCAGTAAGAACAGTTATTTTCACCCCTAAACCGCACTGTAAGTATAAGGTCAATGCCCCCATGCTGGCAATAGTACTTTCACTATATACTTTCGATACCTAATCAAGTAAAAAGAAACGATATTGCCATTAATTACCCCAATTGACTAACTGACTCCCATTGTATGAAATCAACGGATAATGGTGTTCCTCGAATTACAAATAAAGTACCTATACCTAAACAGTTTTTGATTGTAATATTTTCTATTTTTTGACCGACATAACGTAAAAGAAAGAAATTATCTCTGTGTGTTCATGTTCTGAAAGCAAGTGTTGGTCGAATCTCCAATAAAGTGTGAGGGTGCCAAGCTTCGGCACGAATGGGTCGGCTCGACCGGTGTAATAGCCTCACAGAATAGCGACGTGAAACAACCAAAGCATTGTGTTTCGCCGTGTGAGTGATGATCCCTCCCAATCCCTAAATCTCTAAAACCTTAATCCCTAAAAGGTCGGTCGGATTGGCGGCAGACCAGTTTCACCCGCGGTTATAAGGAATAAGTCGGTAAACGAGCAGACGGATTACCTGATGGTAAGCAATCGGCGCCGCCCATGTACACCCGCAACACCAAAGAAGTTACGAGTGCGTTACCGGCCTTGTGGGGATAAGGGTAGCGGATATTTAAGGATTGGGAAGGGAATGGGTCTCCGGGAACCTCACTCACACGGAGAAACACAACGCTGTGGTTGTTCCTCGCTGGTTTTCTGAGAGACCGTAGTATCCCTTCGGTCGAGTCGAGCCATTTGTGTTCGCTCTTCCATACAGAAAGAGTAAAAAATTGCATCCAACTCTCGCGATTTCTTCTCGAATCGCGTCTAAGTATAGAGTCAGTATAAAACCAATTTTTTCGTGTCGGATGCCTGTGTTACTCATGAGTCATGACTCATGACGTCATGAGTCATGAGAATAAACCTAAATTTTATTTATTTATAATAGTAATTAATCAGCTTTTGTATAAATAAACAAATACCTATGTGTATCATAATTTTTCAATTAAGTAAGTAATCCACGATTCTTAGTTCGTACCCTGACCTTGTCATTATTTTATTATTGATATAGGTAATAGAATGCTGCACACATTTCTTTCCAGTTGTAGGCAATAATCGTAAAATAATTACATAATAATAAATGTTATAGCTACACCAATTTGTAGAAAAACCGCCATTCTATAGATTTATTAAAATTAATGGAATCAGTTAGCTTAAATTTTGATTCAACAATTTCAACCTTATCGGCCAAAAAGTCACAAACATACATATTTAACGACCTGGATCACTTTCTTGTAAGCCATAGTTTGAACTAACATTTATGAACCAGAATTTTTAGTTTTGACAATTCATTATCAAAATCATTATATTGTAGTGTGTGTGACACCTCTCCCCATAAGTAGTGTAAGTTTTATAGTAATGTAGCACTTAATTAAAGACGATCGTCCAGTCAACACGTCTCATCATTTCGAACCTATAACCCCCCACATTGCATGGCGACCCTGCCAGTGCTGCCACGCGGGCAGCGCTGCGCACGAGTACAAAGTTTGGCTTTGGTGTAATAACAATGTGAAATCAGACTATTAAATAGACTTGAGAATTTGGATTAAAAGTGCGTAATAATAAAAAAGAAGATATATTGCGGGAGACGATGCAGCCAGATGTGTGTGCAGCCGGGTGCAAGTGTCCGTTGCAGGACAAGAGAGATGCGAGATCAGGGTAGCGTTTGAGAATGTCTCCGCTACCCTAACGTAAAAATGAAGCAGCTGGACTCAAATATGTGATAGTGTAATTTAGTGAAAGTGGACACCAGATAGTTTTTATTAATACATATAAGAACCTAGATACTATAACTTTATAGACATTATGTTTAATTTTAAATAGGAAAATAGTATAGATATTTTAGAAATTTGATTATTATTAAGTTTAGAGATACAATAATTAAGGACCTAGACTACTTTTTTCTTCTATGCATAGTAATAAGATACCGCCTGTTGACAATCGTATCCATTAGGTTTTTATTTCATTTTTGTTGTGTAATATATTTTGGCAATATAATGTTAATGTTTTAATAAAATTATAAATTAGTACAAATTGTAAGGGACAAGATCCGATAGGAATATTCCCATGCCCTAATATAGAAAGTGAAGTCATACCGAGTGTCACGTTGTATTGGAATCATGTTACTTGACACCGATTAACAATAACAACTGCACTTCGCTATGGCAAAATAAATCAAATGAATGAAATTTGAAACTATGTAGGCTATGGAGAGATTATATTGTTTGAATAAGTAAGTAGGTTTGTTTAATATTGTTTGGAATATCTTGGTACACAAGTTTTGGCGTATGACTAAGAGCTGATCACTTAAGGTCAACGTAAAATTTTGTCCACTAAGCAATTCATTTAGATTGTGTTTATGTTGGAAGGATAAGAAAGGATAATAAAAAATAATTATATTAGGTACACATCGTAAGGTACAATTTAGTGATCATTTCCGTAGTTTGATAATGGTGTAGCCGAGCGCTCTCTGTTAAAATTACTGGAGGTCAAATGACACTAAATAAATAAATAAACTAAGCACAATATGAAATAATGTATAAGTATTATGATAAAATAAATAAAAACAGGTACCAGAGAGTCCTGTATAATGTGCTTAGTAGGTATGTAAATGGAATATTACGTAGGTACCTTACGACGAAGACTACGAAGAGTTTAAGTAAAAATGAAAATAATATTATGTGTACCTAAATAAAAACAGAAATTAGGAATACGATTGTATTGTAATAAAGAATTATGTAATTTAAAAGGTATAAGTTTGGTGAAGATATTTATTTAGACTACCTAGGTACTTTGATGTTTTGTAATTTAAATTCTGTAACATTAACTAACTCAATTAAAGATTCAAAAGTTTAATTTAAAATTGTCAACAGTGCGAATATTTAAAGGAAATGTTTATTAAGATTTTATAATAAAAAAAAATGTATAATAGGCTATTATTATTTTTTTTTCTAAAAAACGGGGGAGGTGTAGTGTGTGTGACACCTCTCCCCATAAGTAGTGTAAGTTTTATAGTAATGTAGCACTTAATTAAAGACGATCGTCCAGTCAACACGTCTCTCATTTTCCGCCTACATTGCAATATGTATAAAATATCAACTACTTATAAGATTTTCGAAATCCTCATTAATACCACTACCACTCATCCCGCCATTACAACTGTTAAATACTTCATATTGTTTATATAATTTCTATAAACAAACAAACATTAAAAATACTATGAGTAAACTTTCTTAGTACCTACGCTTCTACTTAACTAGTTGAGCCTGTGTGAATGAGAACGTCATCAAGGTTGATTATTTATTATTGCGAACGAAAAAGAAACATTGCAATCCAATTATTTTTCAAGATGTTACTTAAAAGTCAGGCGGTTAGAAGTCAATGTCAGTTTGGCACGCTCAGAGCCATCCAGCAACTGGTTGCGTAGTCAACTATTATGATTACAAGGTATTACCTACGCTAGATACACTGCACTGGTAATTACACACTGAATTATTGCATTCAATTTTGACCAGTCCATTAAATAGTTGTAACGTTTCACTTTTTGAAATGATTCTTTTAGAATGGTATTACGTCTTCATTTTCATATTTCTCCTCCAAATATTGTGTTTCCAATTAAATTATTTGCCCTATAATTCTGCTATTTTCCTCATTTCCCAAAACAGCTAAATTATGACTAAATACATGGTGCAGTGCGCCAATGCATTCGTTTTCTCTTTCATCTAACGTTCCCATGCTCCAGAACATTAACCTACCTTCCTACTCGGCCCTGTTATGATGACCTCGAAAGCGATGAGAGCTAGATGCATAAGTACTAGCTTCCTAACTAAATGTATGTTTATCTTCGGTATTTTGTGTGTATTTTTCGCTAAGGTATCTGCGTCTGTTGTCTTTCTTAGTTTAGGTACTATTAGTTCATATTACATAATATGGGATTGTTCAATGATAAACAAAGTGGAAGAATGCAAAGTTTGACCACGGACTAATGCTGTCGGTTTTTGTGACAGGTTTTAGTAAGCAATATGAGACATGTGCTCACCCAATAGTAGTCCTTGAAGACGGTGTTGTTGGAAGACCTCAGGTTGATCATGTCCTCGAGCGTGTTCTGCCACCGGTCCATGCCGGCGGCGATCTTGTTCGAGACGTTCTCCCGGTTCATGTTACCCTCGGCTTCTTCGGGTTGAGGAGCAGCATCACTGCTGCTCGCCGGTCTGCTGCTGGAGCTCGACTCCCTGCTCTCGCGGCCTATAGCACTGAACGTCCTGCAACAAACAGAAGCACTAATATAGAAATATCCAAAACTAAGATGGCGGACTCCAACATATGCTACCAATCACCTAAGTATAAATAGATTTTGTCAAAACTTGGGCACGATTTATTTTAAATCCGTACCATTAAATGTGGCTAGAAGTCATTTATTTCAATGTTGCAACGAAACTCGTTACCGATAGTCGTGTACCACATATCTTAATTACAACAAAATCTCAATTAATTACTCGTTTAATTGAAACCAACATGAAGGTTTGATTAAACTTAATATCGGAAATGACTTTTGAATTATTCGGTTAGGTAATATCACTTTGAACGCGATGTTAATTATTGTTGGAGTAATAAATAGGTTTTGTTTGCGATGAATCAAAGTTTAGATGTTTGTAAGAAACTAACCGCGTCCGCGGACTGGCGTAGAGTGGAGACATGTGAATCATATTTCCTATTGTGGATGCGTAACACATTTCTTACTCACCGTTTCCTATAATTACGGCAGTTTATTCGAACTATATTGAGAAATAAACGTTAGCGTTGGGTTTCACCGATCTCCGTTGCACGCGCCCGTCTGCACCTTACACTACTTTATCGTTAATAGCAATATTTAGGTCATGTTCAGGACGTCTGAGAAGGTATTAATTTGGGCTGTCACAATCGAGGTATGTTTCTACATAATTAGTTCTTGTAGGCAGTAATGAATAGCGTCAGTAGGTGGTCTCAAGGTCCAGGGACATTACGCATCTGCTCTGCAGATGTCATTGAGCGGAGAACGGTTATCAGCTGTTTGATCTGACTATCTACAAGTGCAACGGAAATATAGCAATCATTGTTTACCTATGTATGTAGTACTTATGTTCAAAAGGCAATGTTTTTGTGTCAACACCCTCACTGTGACTAACACATAACCACGTAGCTACATATTTTATAACCTATGTTGACGCAGTATTAGTGTGCGTTAGGATACCTAATTCATTTTATTTGTTTTTGGTAATATACACCTTCATATTACTATACATTGTAAAATAATTAATTATAGTTTAATTCATTAGCCTATGTTTCTCCTGGTCTATTACCTACATCTGCTGATGGTGCACCTGCCTCTTGAACTGACCCCGTCGTGGTTCTGCCGGGCCTTTTTCCGCAGTGTTTAATTAAAATTCTGCTAGACTAGCAGCCAAATATGTATTTTTGGTATTTACTCATGTGGAAAACTCGTCAAAGTATTCGTTAGTTTCAAAATTATTATAAGTATCATGTTTTATATAGCGTGTATATTTTTCTAAAAATAGAAGTTTTCTGTTTCAGACCTCAGCAGTTCATTTACAGTGTAACTAACAATGGAGATGTAATAAACTATTGAGACTCAATAATTTTATCACATTGTAAGCCGGGGCTGAAACTTAGATACTGGTTATAAATACTATATTTTTACGCATATTTCTTTCAGATAATCAGTCAGTGAGTTCTATTGACACCGATAAAGTTTACAGTTGAGTGTTGCAATCGCGATACATATATTTGCAGTTGCTTAACTTCAGGATGGAGAAAATGGAACGATGATAAAATTAAGTAAAAACGTTTGTTTTATCGTGAACGAGACCACCTGGGCATGTTAGTCGCTCAGCAATAAAAAGCAAACATAAAGTGAAGCAGCTGACGATTCCGTTTAACAATTTATGTGTTTTGCAGTAATTCGGTGCGGCTTTACGACCCGAGATAAGTTGACGATAATGCGTTTTACGATTTTGAACAAATTCACTTTGTAACATCGTAAATATATGATTGCAAATATAATTATGAATGTCTTTATGCAACTTTACATTCGTAACATTAATGGCGGAACCTCAATGTTTATTGTTTCTCAGTAATTTTGCACACTTTCGCCTCCACCATTGCTGGCTACTAAATACTAATTATACGCTCCGTGACTTATTCCCATACATGTGTTTATGCTAAAATAATCGTTAATTAAACGTGCGTAAAGGTTAAGTTTGTTTAAATGTCATCGGCGTAATAATAGCATTAGTCCCGAGTTGCAGTCCGCGTGTGATCTTTCTTCCATAATTATTCAGTGTTACTATATTTGCTAATGTATAACTAGAACTGTTTGTCATACGTGAACTGTATTGTGTACTAATGACGAACTTGTCTGTACCTACTAATGAATGACTACTTACAGATAATTCTAATTATTCTATTATCAATTTATTTCTTTTTTTATGGCTGACATTGTTAGCGTAGTTTATAACAAAATAAATGATTTTCTAGCTGTGCTACTATGTGAGATTGCAGGACTGGGCTTCGATTCCCGCACGGAACAACTCTTTGTGTGATCAAGAAATTGATGTGTGTGAAATAGTATATTTGCAAATGCGCCCTAATAATCGTTTTTAAAAGAGTCAAGGAACTCGTAGTTTTCATTTCAAATCCCAAAATAATTACCGATGACACTTTCTATTTCGTGGATGACACTTATTCATAATTACATTGTAGGATTTTTCAATACAAACTGTCGGATAGAAAAGCATAAAACCATAGCATTCAATTTACGTGCAGTGTAACCAGTAACGCGAATAGAAAGTATAATGCCTTGATAAGATAACTCACGGAACCTGAAAAGTTCGTTTACTTTACGTTCTCAAAAAAAACGTTTATCAGTAACAAAAACAAACACGAGGTATGAGTAACACAAGCAAAAAGCCGTGCGAGTAATATAACCAGTTAAGGTAAAGCTAACTAGTATGTAGTATGAAAAACTAGGTATCACCGTATTTACTCGAATTACTTGAATCGCAGCCCTACGTAAGGAACAGTAATGAACTGGTTTGGAAACATTTCGCAATGTTGTCCGACGAACGACCTTTTAATGTTACTGTTTCAGCGGATGGGCCTGAAACAACATCAAGACCTGCAGGCAAATACTATACTATATTCAATACTTATAGGGTCAGAGAGTAGAGTTCCTAAGATTGGATCAGCTTGGCAGGCTACTACCCCCAACAGTAGTACGACGGGATTGTCTATCCGTGTTTATTCGCGCGCAAACTTCACTTGCGTGATGTAGGACCTGTGACGTCATTAGTTGAATATTGTCATCTAACTATATATGCACCGTCGTGAAGCAAAACTTACGTTGTGTTTCGTCGTGTGAGTGAGGTTACCGGAGGCCCAATCCTTTCCTTTATAACTTACAAGAGGCCGGCAACGCACTTTATAGTAGTTCCTTTGTGTGTCCATGGGGCCATAAGCGGCGCTGACTACCATCAGCTTACCATCAGTTAATATGTCTGATCATTTATGACCGCTGACCGCGTTATGATATAAAAAAATCTATGTGCATCGCCACATTATTTTATCGACCCCCCGACTCCTCGCTCGACAGTCGAACGTACGGTCATTCGACTGGACCTGAAGAATAGCTTAAATAGTTTCACCACTTGGTACCATCAAGATACGAAGGTCGGACACCATTATCGTAATTCCTATAATCAAATAGAACGCTCATTGTAATTATATAGCCGTAATTGAAGTTCAAGGATATAATTATGAAGACTATACATATATTGTTCTATCGCGCGGACGTGTAAGAGAAAGGAGTTCTTGATATTAAGTGTACTAACTTAACTAAGAGGACCATTGTTGACATAATACAAAAAAAATAGTTTTGTTCCCACAAATCTACTTTCCACTTCAAAATCTCTCTATATTACTCTTCTTCGGTTGTAGAAGTAAATTTGCTGTATGATATAACAGTATTCAAAATAGATTCATGACTTTTGTGTTTGCTAGCCTATTTATTGAGGAAGGTTATAATAAACTGTCAACGTCACACGAGGACCGAAAGTAATCAAGCAAACGGGTGAAACCGAGAGGTGGTTGTGTTAAAAATGTATCACCAAGATCTAGACCCTGACACAGTATGACATATGTACTTAAGAGATTAAACAAAAATGTATTTTTACTAGGTACTTAAGAACACAGGAAATAAATATAACACCGCTGTCCATTATGACAATGGATTATAATAACATACAGCAAAAACTCCCAGCTCCGTGCAACAAAAACTGGTTGATATTGGTTCTACGCGTCGAACGTTTATTTAGAAAAAGAAAACAATATTGTTACGTCAGGTCTATTAAAGAGTCGAGTTAAGTACACGAAAGTAGCCCTGACCTTAATTGAAGCGAAACGCAAACTGATAGAAAAATGCAAGTACCTACAAAACGTAGGGCTGAGGACGTATCGATATCGATAATTCAAATACCTAACGATGGTTTCATGACGTGCATTCTGATTTATGAACATAAATCAAGACTAGAAGTTACGCCACGAGTCCGCGAATGGATTTATGTCACTACAAAATAATGAAGGTTTCTCTAGGTATATTAATTTATGAAACAGCAATCACAGATGTACGTCTAAGTATCTATTAAAGTTCTTACTCGGGTCCAGTTTCCAATTTAGGATAATTTTGTAATAGTCTGGGGTCTGTTAAACATTTGTAGCGATTAGGAAATGGGTGAGTGTGCTTTATGTAAACAATTGTTACAGGTTTTTGTACAGCTAAATAAGTTATTTCAGTAACCTATTCTTTACTCATTAATTTACCCACAAGAACAATATTTGTTACATTTTATTTTAGTTGTTAAGTGGCAGTGGATTTTTGTAAACGAATAAGTGTTTAAAATATCAAAACAACGATTATGAAAAAGAAATGGACTTTGAAATACATTCTGAATACTAAAGCAATGATTACAGATTAAAATGTCAAAGAAAACATAAAAAGAACGATAATAGATAACATTTTACAAATCATTGATCCACCACGATTCTGACACGAAACTATTACTTAAGCTGCTATCATATACATATATCAGGAAAAGGCGGTCAGAGCGCATCATGTTAAACGTCCAACAATATTAAGTAATTATATTTACGATACGATATCGATAGAATAGAACAGGTTACTCAATCGACCTCTGACATTTTTATCGAT